AAAAAAAAAAAAAAAAAAAAAAAAAAAAAAAAAAAAAAAAATCTTGGTTGTTTTGTGGTTTCCTATATAGATAGGAATTATTTTAAACTTACTTTTTGTGCATCTGCTCTGCATTTGAGTTTTTACCTTTCCATGTGTTTTCATGATAGTATCCTGTGGACATTAACCATTTCTTGTCAAGTCAGCCTGAGGTAATAAAAGTTTTTACTTGTTTACATTTGAAAGTTTTTGTTTCTGTTTGAATGTTCTGGTTATGGTATTGTTGCTTGGAAATACTCTTTGATATTTTTAATATGTCTCATCTTTTCTTGTATGTGTGTGTTGGCCATAGTTAGCAGACCACATCTATGGTCTGTAAAGTTTCTACATTTGGAGACATTTACTATGCTATTTGGGTATTGTTCAGTGTATGACATACTGTTTGTCTTATCATTTAAAAGTTTGTTTTGCTTTTATTGTATTTATTTCTGTGTGGTGGGGGCATGTGTATGCCTTGGGGTGTATGTAGAGGTCAGAAGACAACTTGCAGGAATTGCATCCTCCTTCCATCATGTGGTTCCTGAGGATTGAACTCAGGTCAGGTCTTAGATGCAAGTGCCTTTACCTGCTGAGTATCTCATCTGCCTTTTTTTCATTTTCTTACTTTGTAAAATTTAGGTTTTTTAAGCTATAATTTCTCGGCCAGGTACAGTGGTGTACACCTTTAATCATCTCAGCACTTGGGAGGGAGAGGTAGATGTAGCTCTGATTTCAAGGCCAGCCTGATTTACAGGATGAGTTTCAGGACTGCCTGGCTACACGAATAAAACTTGTCTTGAAAAAACAAAAAAGAAAAAAATCTCTCTCCACAGACTTTCCTTCAAAATTCAGTGCTAAAAGTATTAAAATGTGCCACATGCTGGCTCTCATGCTATCTTAGAATTCTGTCTTTGTTTTGTAGGGTTTTTTTTAATCATATTTAATTATGTGTGTCTGTATGTACATTTATGTATGTGAGTACAGTGTTCACATAGGATGCAAGACGAAAGTGGAGCCTCTGGAGCTGGAGTTTACAGTTGTTTGTGAACTGCCTGGGTTAGTGCTTAGAACTGAACTCTGGTCCCCTGCAGAAGTGTCCGCTCTTCCCTCCTGGGTCATCTCTCCAGTCCTGTTTTGGATTTAATAGTTGACTGGGATACACCTTGGGGATTGATCTATTTTGAGTGAATCTGTGGATGTTCTTAAAGCTCTTATGAAATGTTCTCATTGGTCCTGTCACTGCCCAATGCACATAATAAGATATATATTGGGGGGCTGGAGAGATGGCTCAGAGGTTAAGAGCACTGACTGCTCTTCCAGAGGTCCTGAGTTCAATTCCCAGCAACCACATGGTGGCTCACAACCATCTGTAATAAGATCTGGCGCCCTCTTCTGGCCTGCAGGGGTACACGCAAACAGAACACTATACATAATAAATATATCTTTAAAAAAAAAAAAAAAAAAAAAAAAGATATATATTGGTTTTATGTGTATGGGTTTTTTGTCTACATGTATGCCTGTGCACAACTTGAATGCAGTGCCTTCAGAAGCCAGAAGAAGGCATCTGGTTCCCTGGGACTGAAGTTTGAAACAGTTGTGACCCTCCATTTGGGCTCTGGGAATTAAACCCAAGTCTCCAGCAAGAGCAACCAGTGTTCTTAACCTCTAAGCCATCTCTCCAGCCCAATGTTTTGTCATTATTTAATGTACCTGACTTAGCAGTTAGCCAAAACTTGATAATTATTTCCTATTAATAGACCAGTGTGATCCCAAACCTGAGTTGATCCTGAAGTTGGAACAAGAAGCTGAGCCATGGAAGGAAGACGATGTCCCAAACCCGAGCCTCCCAGGTCAGTGACTATACCCTGGACAAGGATGCCAAGTTGAGGAAGCTCATCAAATGGTGGCTGTGTTGAGCTCTTATCTCCATTTTTCTCTTGTTCCAAACTTGAATTTAAGTGTTCTTACTCATCCAACAATCAGTATGTACAATATATACAACAATCTGCAAGGCAAGCTCTTTCATATAAATGCATACCACTTACATTAGTCAGGGTTCCTTAGAGGAACAGAACTGATAGAATACACACACACACACACACACACACACACACACACACACACACACACACACAAATACGGGATTTATTAGAGTGGATTACAGGCTGTGGCCTAGGTAGTCCAACAAAGGCTGTCCCAACAGAAAGGTCAAAATTCTGGTAGTTACTCAGTCAGGTCAGTGAGACTGGATGTCTCACCAGTACCATTTTGTGCTGGAGTCTCTGAGGATTCCTAGTGAGCTTCTGTCTTCAGTATGCATTGGAATCCTGAAGAGTTAGGTCCTAAAATCAGTGAAGGAATGCCTCAGCAACAAGATAGATGCACTTGCCAGTGAGAGTGAAGACAAGCAGGCAAAAAGAAGAAATCCCCTTCTTCCATGACCTTTATATGGGGTGCCACTGGACAGTCTGGCTGATATTTAGAGTGGGCCTTCCCACTTAAAAGATCCAATCCAGAAAATCCCTCACAGGTCTGTACAGCTGACTGGGTTTAAGTTGGTTCCAGATATAGTCAAGTTGACAGCCAAGATTAGCCATCACACCACTTTAGTTATGTTTTGCCATGTAATATCTTAGGCTTAGCAAATTCATTCCCCTTTCTAGTTTTTTCAATATGTTATCTTAGGCTAAATAAATTCTGTTCAGTCTGTGGTTGTTCTTAGACATGTTTGTTGGTGAGGTTATTTTATTTAAATTCTTAGTTGTCCTTTCCTCATTTGTACAGCTTGTTTTGAGCCTTTATTTATGTGTTTATTGCTTGTTCTTTGCTCCCTCTTATACACTTGTTTGATATTCTGGAACAAAAAGTGGAAGTCAAGAGATTTATCAACAGGCTAAAGAGCTCTGTTGTGTTGAGAATAGAAATTTTGGCATTTAAGAAATCATCAGCCCTCACCCAAAGTCTTCCCTGAATAAAAGAAGGAAAAAATATTTAAGGTCTAAAGAATATGCAACTTTAAGATTATCACTTTCTTTTGATTTAATTTAATTTTAGACCACTGATTTCTAAACATGGTATATAATATGTAGTGGACAAGAACTCTCGAGTGCATATTATTTTATTAAGAGTCCAATTTTGATGTTAATAGTTTGAAACTAACACTGAAAACATAGTCCTTTAGACAACTCACCAAGGGATTGATAAAATATGAGAAAAGTTACAAAAATAAAATCATGTATATGAAGATAGCAGAATTTGCAAAGTTAAGAAGCACTTAGGTAGATTCTAGGATGGAGTACATCTAGAGATTAGTGTGACATCTAGGAGACCTTGGACTTGAAGGTCAAATGACCAACAGGTTGCTTATTTCAGGGCTCATATTTTGTGAAGGGTTATGCTATTAGCCTTCCATTTTTCTCTTTGTGGAAATCACTCTGATTCAACGTATGCAGTGAATTTGTACAGAAAACTCCATTCGTTTTTCAATTTTAACATGGTCAAAGTGCCAAAGCATAAATAAAAGAATAGATAAAGGAGAAGCATGATTTTATGAGTCAGTGTGTCTATGTGTACAGAGATAGGGAAGTGCCAGTCATTAATGTCAGACCTGTGCAACAGTTCTCAGTATTGTGGGGACACCTTGGCTTATGGAACCAAATGTTTGCAGATTTCCCTATGTGTTGTATCTAATTCAGATTAAATTAGGAATATCAATAATCGTTCTTCTGTATATGGAGGAAGATTATTAGTATTTGAAAAATACTGGAGGTGTCTGCATCATTTCATCAAGAAATTTTTCCTTAGGTAACAGACAAGTGTACCACACTTGATCTGTATGGGTACTAACCAGAAAACCTTCCATTTCTTTATTTCTTCTAGATATGCAGCATGCAAATGAGATCAACCAAGACTATCAGAAGATGCATGGATGCAATCTGGTAATTGCCAAGAGCAGCAGCACATCAGCTGAGGAGAGGGCTAAAGCAGGAAAACCTTTGACTAGCTCAAACCATGTTTTAAGACTAGCTGTAAAGAACGATATGTCTTCTGGAATGAGACCTGGGGTGCTTCATATATGGGATCGTGTGCTTCTCCCTAGTGAGCCCAGTGAGATGCAGGCTGTAGAGGAACTTGATCTTCCTCATGTAACCAGGGTGTCCCCTAGACTTCCTGAGCCTCTTAGTCTATATCACAGTACTAAATGTGAAGAAAAGCATTTTCAGTATTGTGGGCACAGTGAAGCTCTCCACACGAAGACAGTGTGGATACAGAACACATTTCCTATCAGAGATCCTTCCAGTAAGTTGAACTACAGGAAAGGATTAGAAAAGTTAGCTCTTCCTGCTCAAGGGGGGACCCAGGTACAGGAGCAAACTTTTGAATGTAAAGTGTGTGGGAAATTGTTCTATAAAAATTCTCATCTAACACAGCACTTAAAAACACACAAAGAAAAGGAATGTTATAAAAGTAATGATTGTGAACCAATATTCAATATACAATCAAACCTCCGAAAACATCAGAGTTTGAATATGGGAGAAAAGCCTTATACATGTAATGAAGATGAGAAATACATTTGTCAGAAATCAGAAAAAAGTGTTCAGCAGAGAATCATAGGGGATGGAAGGAATGTATATGAGAAAACTGTTTGCTCAAAATTAAATTGCAGTGTTCAACAGAACCCTCACAAGGATGAGAAATCCCATGAATACAATATATCTGGAAAAACAATTAGTAAGTCTAACCTCCAACTTGAGACACTGCACAGATATGAGAAAGCATATGAATGTAATACATGTGGGAAAACCTTTAACCATACACCAAATATCTACTCACATTCGAGAGCTCACACAGCTGAGAAACCCTATGAGTGTAAAGACTGTCAGCAGTCAAAACCCATTGTGAATCAGCAAGCTCACACACAGGAAAAACGCTATGTGTGCAATGTATGTGGAAAAGCCTTTTACAAAAGAGCCCACTTAAACGCACATCAGCGAACTCACACAGGTGAGAAGCCATATGACTGTAATGAATGTGGGAAATCTTTTAGGCTGAAGTCATTTCTTGTTGTACATCAAAGAATTCACACAGGTGAAAAACCCTTTGCATGTACTACATGTGGAAAAAGTTTCAAGCAGAGGACAAGTCTCTACACACACATAAGAATTCATACAGGTGAGAAACCCTATGAATGTAAAGAATGTAGGAAATCTTTTATTCTCAAGTCATACCTCACTGTTCATCAGAGAACTCATTCAGGTGAGAAACCCTATGAGTGTGATGTATGTGGAAAGTCCTTTAAGCAAAATTCCCACCTTCATGCACATAAGAGAACTCACACAAGTGAGAAACCCTACGAGTGTGTTGTATGTGGCAAAAGTTACAAGCAGAGTCCAAGCCTCTATACACATAAGAAGATTCATATGAGTGAGAAACCCTATGAATGTAAACAGTGTAGAAAATCATTTAGTTTGAAGTTCCATCTCACCAGACATCAGAGGACTCACTCAGGTGAAAAACACTATCAGTGAAATGTGTGTGGATGAGCCTTTAAGCAGAGTTCACACCAGTGTACATCAGAGAACTCCCCCAGGTGAGAAATCCTGTGAATGGGAAGAATATAGAACACCTCTCCACCACTAGTCAGCTGCCCATGTTTATTAGGAGCTTTAGTGGGGAGAAACTCCATGAGCGTTATGTCTGTGGATAGACCTGCTGCCAGATGTCAAGCTGGTGCACACATCTGTGAATTCATACAGGTGACAGACTTTTATAATTAAAAACTAAGAAAATATTCCAGCCAAAGATACATCAGAGAACTCATAAACATGAGAAACCTTAAGAGCATATAAATGTAAAAAAATCTCAACCATAAGATACAACTCATTAAAACATGTACAAATGGGTGAGATGTTGAAAAACCCTTCCCTAGATATCATATCTCAGCAGTTATTAAGTAATTCACACCCTATTAAAGAAACCCTATGAATGTAGAAAATCCTTCAACCATAGGTCATTTTTTTACTGCATACCAAAGAAGACATGGGAACATCTCCATGAATGTTGTTTATGTGCAGAAAACACACACTCAAGACAAACCTCTGTCCACCTGAAAACTCAAAACTGAGAACCCTATGACTATAAATACTGTAGGAAATATTTCAACCATAAGCCATCTGTTGCTGTACATGAAAGAAGTCACATAGGTGAGTAACCCTAAACACATAGGTGAGTATAAGGTAAGCAGAGAACCTTTCAAGGGATGCTGAGTCTCTTTGCATTAGACATGCACTACTGAGGAACCCCAAGAGTAATGTATACGGAAATGCCTTTTTCAGTAGGCAGACCTCTAAACATCAGTGACTGCTCGGAAGCACATGAGTAATGTATGTGGGAAACCCTTCTACTAATGTCAGACCTTCACTCATACAGATGTAGTCACTGTACGTATCTGGAAGAGCCACATAGTATAAAGGAGACCTCAGGAAACATTTGAATTAGCACAGAGGAGACCTTGCAAAACAGATAATAATGTGGGTAGTGTTTCTAAGAAGTCACTCAACAGGAATTCATCCCACAAAGTCCTTAAGTCCAGGAAGCAGAGTACCATGTGCTCCCCAAGATTTATTTTCTTTGCTGCACTCATCAGCCTGTGTTTTGCAGTCTGTTTCAGTTTGTGGGACCTCGTGCTAAGCTCTTTAGTGGAATGTAAATGCATGTATCCCGCTAACCCCCCAAATCTTAACGAACTCCACCTGGGAGCCCATCCATAGTTGGCCTGAAGTGCAGATAACCTTCAGTGTGTTTAGCAGCCATGAATAGAAGGGCACTGTGGCTTAGGAATGTTCTGTCCAGAGAGCTATGATCCTCCTGCATGTTTCTGCCATCTCTAGTGTATGGAAGGGAGGTCTGCAGAGTCTGTAACAGTGCAGAGCCACAGCCATTAGTTCACTCTAAGAGGTGGTGAGGCAGACAGATTGTCTCTAGAAAACTCTTAGGAGAGATCTGTGGCCACTCTTCGTTCCCATGCTGCCTTGGGGAAGAAGAAATCCCGATAAAATTCCCGGAAATACTGAGTGTGTTTCTAGTAAGGATCTTCCATTAAACAGATCATTGAATGCACATTGCTTTTATGTGTGAAACCATTCAATAAAATTTCCAGTCAGGTTTCGACCAAGGAAGATTATCACTATGGAATCTATATATTAATTTTTTTTGGGGGGGGGAGAAATGTTAAATCTCATATTCCAGTTGTTTTCCAAAATCTGCATGTCAGGAGATGAATATTGGTAATGCCTATCAGTGAGCATCTGCCTGTCGAGGGACATTTGTGATGTTTTAACTAGAGTTTGGGAGAGGGCAGTGGCACATATAAGGATGTAGCTGAACAGCCTACAGTATGTTGGATAGTACACTCATGTATGTATGGTTCATGGATATGAGTATGTCATATCAATTGTGTTCCATGATGAGAATAAACAGAAGAGAGTCTCCATGGTTTCGTGCAATATGTGTTGCAGTGTACATTGATTCATGTAATACATGTTGCAATGTACATTGATATTTCCCACATTTGATGCCATTCTGGCCTCTTTATAGCTTCTTACCCTCAGACATTGTATTATATACTTTCTTAGTCTTGTGTCATCTAAATGTGTGTGACAGTTTTACCGGCTCAAGTAAATAAAGTATTCTTTTCCTAACGTGATGTCTTGGAGTGGGCCTGTGTGTCTGATAGGAAAAGTATTTACAGTCAGAAGCACAAAAAGAGGTTTGTTCACAGCTGGAGTGAGAGTTGATCTTGGGCTGTTATGAACTGTAGTGCTCATTCCCTCCCACCCTCAGAGGGATAATTTCCCCTTTGTTCCTCTTTCTTACGCCTTTAAATGGGACATCAGCATCTGTGTGAGTATGTGGACCAAATGCTCTGTAACTAAGGTTCTTTAATCTCCATTACAAAATAGCCTGTCTCAATGTGATGTGCTGAAATTAAAGTACTTGCCATGTAACCTGAAATGTGAGAAAGATCTATCTTCTAAGCATTTCGGTGAATTCGTTTTCCTTCTTCCAAGTTGCTAGGAGCCTGCAGCAGAATGTTGAGCTATACTCCAGCATTTCCTACTTTACCAAAGTTGGATTTGATTTTGTTCCCAGTCCTACATACTGATTTAGGGATTTAGCTCTACTGTGTGTATTTCTAGTAATTACTTGTGATCAGTATTTTCATCCGTATTTTATGCTTTGCATGTGAGCCAGCTCTGCCTGTTGACATCCTGGGAAAGGTCCGTGACAGCTCTTAGAATGTGCCAAAAAGACAAGTGGAGACATGGAAGAAGTGAGTCTTCTGTTGTACACTGAAGCGGGGAGACCTTCAGGTTCCAAATAATCCTTTGTCAGTGGGATCCCATGAATTATGAGTATATAAAAACTATAAAAACCCATTTCAGTGATGCTGTGTAGAGCCACTGAAATAGCTGGTATGAGAACTAAGGGATTTTTCTTTTTGCAGGGGAAGGGGCATTTATTTACAGAATTGTGTTTATCTTATTACATAAAAATAGTTACCTCTGGGCAGTGGTGGTACATGACTTTAATCTGCACTCAAGCAGAAGCAGGCAGATCTCTGTGAGTTCCAGGACAGCCAAGGCTACAAAGAGAAACCTTGTCTCGAAAAACGGGGAAAAAATAGTACCAAGTTACAAACCAATATAAGCAATCATGCTTGTGCAAAATTCAAGCACTTTGGAGGGATTGGCAGTATTATGAGTTTGAGGCCTGTGTAAGGAGTCACTCTCAACCCATACACCTCCTTCCTCACACATGCACGCATGTGTACACACACACACACACAGACATACAAACTCACACACACATTTGTATCCTAGACTCATCAGTTTGAGTTAAGCATCCCTGCCACCACCCCTGCCAAACTCCCCATAATAGACCTGCTATGATAGTCATCATAGACAAATACTATTTTATGTGCAGACTTAACAGAAAAATGGCGAGGCATGTAGGAGAAACAACATAGCCAGATTTTTTTTTTTAATTGTTTCAAAGAGTAGTAGATTACAGTTCAAAGTGGTATTTCAGACTTAAAAGCAAAGTAGATACAGAGTATTAAACCTCACTGATAGAACGTCTCTAAACGTGTATTTAAGAACACTTAGAATAAAAAGCAAAGCACTGAAGGGGGGCAGGCTTGGAACTAGAGTCCTGTGGTCAGAACATGAGGGTTGGAGGAGCTGTCAAGGGAACAGTATACATTTGAAGAAAACTTTGCCTAAGTGAAGGCCATGGCAGTCCTGCTTAAGCAGACATTGGATATGTGGAATCCTAATTCGGGGCAACAAGAGCCAAAGCAGTGCCTCCCCATAACAGGTACCTAAAGGAAATACGAGTGCCCAGAGCTTGTTGTAGTTGATTCTAGGCACGGTGGAGTTGACAGACAAGCTTAGCCATCACACTAGACCATGGACACTTACATTAGCTCCAGAAGAAACCTTTATCTCCCATGAAATGAGAGATAAATAATACAATTATTTTGTATTATGATTGACAAGTGCTGCCGGTCCATTACCTGTCAGTCTTCAGCCATCCCAATCTGGTGCTGAAGGCCTGGAGAGTTCTTAATGAACCACTGCTCATCAGTCTACACCAGAAACTCAAAAAAAAACAGGTTATAATAACAGTGAAGGAATCAGCAGCAGCAACAAGGTAATTACAAAAGAAATGAAAAAGAAATAGCTTCCATATCATGGGAGATAAAGGTTTCTTCTGTAGCTCAATGTAAGTGACCATGGTCCAGTGTGGTAGTTAAGCTCGTTTGTCAATTTGACTGCATCTAGAGTCAACAACAAGCTCTGGGCGCTTTTATTTTCTTAATGTTTAAGAAACTTGAATTGAGTTTTCTCAGATTATTTGAAAATGGAAGACCCATCCTGAATCTGGGTAGTGCCTTCTGGTAAAAGGACATGAAAGAAGGGGACTGCTTTTTGCCTGCTTATCCTAACTCTTGCTGGTGGGTTCATCTATTCTGATGCTGCAGCATTCCTTCAATGATACAAGGACCAACATCTTTAGGATTCCAACAGAGACTGGAGACCAGTGGCTCTCCCTCTCCAGGAATCCTCCAGCCTTTCAGTGCCAGATGGAGACATCCAGCCTCATGAACTGAGCTTGCCTACAAACCAAATAAACAAAACTTCATAAAGCCACAAGATAGTCAAACTGCAAAAATCCAAAAATAAACACAATCATCTTTAAAAACCAAAACTCCATTGGGATATTAAGCAGAATTCAAATGATTGCATAAAATAACAAGCAAACCAAAGTATTAGAAATGTTTTACACAACATTACAGAAGCAGAGATGATGTGTACAGTCCCGACTTAGTGACCTAACAAAAGAGGCTCAGAGTGAATGTATTTAGACTCAAGAGCCGAACACAAACTTGTACTCTTATTGGTAGATAGGGCCTCTTACAACAATGTTAGCAATGCTGAAACTACCATGAACTCCATCCAGTAAATGCACTGTAGGAAACTGGTGTAGTCTCCTCTGTAGTCCACACAAGTACAAGTGTGCAAACGCAGCACACTGCAATGAACCTGTGGTTCTGGGTTACAGTGGGCAGAATCAACTGATTCACTGACTATGTCAGTGAATTCACTATGTCAGTGAATCTGTGCAGAAAGTCAGACAGACTGCTAGATTTATCTTCATCAAAGGGAAACAGGTTCTAGGGAAAATAGCAAATTCTAGGTCTGGGAAAGAAAATGTAAAATGAACCTTGAGTATTTCTCAGTGTCAGAAAGTAATGGGGTAGAGATGTAGCTCAGCTGATGGAATGCTTTCCTATTTCATTGCATGCACAATGTCCTCAATTAGATTTCTAGCACAGCGTAAAACCCCAATGGTAATTCATGCTCATAATCTCACTATCCAGGAGATGGAGTTGGAAAACAACTCCCTGGGTAGGAACAAGAGAACATGTTCTAGAGTGAAGGGGTCTCTGTGACCACCATGGCCAGCAGAATAACAATTGGTGGGAGGCAAAGTAATTCAGTTCAACATGACTCAGAAGTCGGTGTTGGTTCAAACTTCAGGACTCTGACCCTGAGTAGTTTATTTTAGGCACATTTAAGCATAGCACAATTTGGTGAAAACTTTTCTGGTGATAATAAACTCAGTTCCATGTGCACAATAAAGCTAAGATATGACTACTTTGTAAAGTACATGTGACATTTTCCATAAGGATGGATTCTATAGATTGACTACATGTGACACCTTCCATGAAGATAAATTCTATTTAGGTTGACAAGCTCAGGATAAGGGTCTGGGGGAGGATCCAGTGTGGTGCCACCAGATAGTGCAAACATCACCAGGCTACTAAGCACATCCACTCCCAGCCTTCTGGGCAGATTACAGGTTATGCCTCTTTCTCTTTGAAGGAACAGCCCTATGTGTTTAACATTTCTGGTTCCCTTAGTGCTTATCTGTGAGCACAAGGACCTCTGTGCCTCCCATGCTGGCAAAGTATAAAATATTAAAACAAATGAAGAATCTATGGAGGTATTTGTTTGTCAAAGGTGTACGTTTAAGGAGCTGGAGAGATTGCTCCGTGGTTAAGAGCACTGACTGCTCTTTCTGAGGATCCAGGTCGGTTCTCAGAACACACACGGTGGGTGGCTCAAAACTGTCTATAACCCCAGTTCCAGGGGGTGTAACATTCTTTTCTGGCCTCTGAAAGTACCAGGCATGCACTGGTGCACAGACATACATGCAGGACAAAACACTCATACATATAAATTTAAAAAAAAAAAGTGTACATTTAATTGTGGCTTCATAAGCCAGGAGTGATGGCACACACTTTAATCCCAGCATTTGGGAGGCAGAGGCAGGTGGATCTCTGTGAGTTCAAAGCCAGCCTGATCTATATAGGGAGTATCAGGATATCCAGAGCTAAATAATAGAGAGACCCTGTCTAAAAAATAAGTAAATAAAAAATTTAAAAAATTGTAGCTTTGAGACTAAGAAGTGATTCAGTGGCTAAGAGCACTCACCACTCTTGATGGAGAACCCAGGTTTGGTTCCCATATTCAGGGGCTCACAATTGCCTGTAACTCCAGTTCTAAGGGATCCAGTACCCCCTCCTGTGGGCACTGCACAAGAGGTGCACATAGAGACAAGCAGGCACACACACACACACACACACACACACACACACACACACATAGATGTAAATAAAAGAAAGAAAGTTTGCTGCTGGAGAGATGGCTTGGCAGTTAAGAACACTGCTGTTCTTCCCAAGGACCTGAGTTCAATTCCCAGCACCCACACTGAGTTGCTCATAGGAGCCGATAACTCCAGCTCTGGGGGCAGGGAGAAACTCAAATGGACGCCTCCAGCCTCCTCAGATACCCTTATGCAATGCAAACCCCCTACACACATAATTGATGAAACCACTTTCCAAAAGTGTACATTTCAATGTACGCACGTCTGACTATACAAACAAAAGAACTAAAAACAAGCATGTATGGGCTGATGGGGTGGAGAGTGGGTTAAAGCAATGAAGAAAGTTTAAAGGTGCCTAATGAGTAGTTGGCGAAGCTGTGAAAAGTCTATTATATTGTTTAGTTTTATGTGTTTATTGACATAGGTATGTATATTTTTCTATAATAAAATATTTTCTAAGAAGCAAAGTTAAGCCAAGTATAGTGGCAAATGCCTATAATCATAGGGCAGGGCGCAAGCCTATTTATTAGTCCTGTGGAGATTGGAAGATCAGTTCAGTGTTATCTTCATATGGTACATTTACATACATACAGGCAAAACACTTATACACCTAGAATAAAAATAAATTAGTCTTATAAACAACAACAACCATAGGCCGGATGGCGGTGGTGCACGCCTTTAATCCCAGCACTCGGAAGCAGAGCCAGGTGGATCTCTGTGAGTTCAAGGCCAGGCCTGGTCTACAGAGCAAGATCCAGGACAGGCACCAAAACTACACAGAGAAACCCTGTCAACCAACAACAACAAAGATCTCGAGTACCTTTTGGAGTAGGCAAGGCCAAAGTTATTGAAAGCATGGGAGAGGCTATTTTTTTTTAACTGAAGGGCACGTGTGAAACTGGGTTCAGTCAGGAGCAAAATCAGTAGGAAAGGTTTTAACCAAGAATGTACTTCTAGGAAGTCACTCTGGTTCTCCTTCAGTTCCTCAGGCATTGTTCTCCATCTAGTGAGATCAAATAAAACATTGCATAGTACAGGACATAGTTATTACAGAACAAGGTGAAACATTGTCAAGGGTGAGAGTGAGCATGGACCAAAGACTCCTTTAGAAAATAGGCTTTTATACCACACACTGAAGTTTCTGGGACAACTTCCCCAAGAGATTTCTATCCACAAGATTGACAAGCTTATTTGGATTAATTTGTAAGAATGGGGCAATCGTGTGTCTTTGATGTTTTATTTATTGTCTTTTGAGACAAGGTCTTTCTGTATATCTTGGCTGTACTGAAATTTTTTTATACAAACCAGGCTGGCCTGGAACTCACGGATTTCTGCCTGCCTCCACTTCGTCAGTGCTTGAACTAAAGATGTGGGCCACCACACCCAGCCTGTGTCTTTGGTTTTATAATCCTTGAAGCAGTTTAAAATACCACACTTCTACCCAGAGCCTAAGGTATGGCTCAGGTCCTCTACTTATTATTTTTTTAAATGTGAAAATATTTGAAGAAAATTATATATATAGGAAACAGCCTTCCCTTAAAGGGCCTCAATGAGCGGCTATTCTCTTCTTTCTTTCGGGAAGAATTTTAAATTTTGAGAAGGGGCGATTGAATCCATGCTTCCCTCTTTTCATGTGGTGGTTTGAATTCTAAGGGCAGTTGTGGTACTTTGGTTTTCCTTAACTTAAGGTGCGTCCATCCACAAAAGACCTGATGGAATGCCTATCTAGCTATTCTGGCTACCTAACAATTATAGTTTATTTTATGTGTATGAGGGTTTTGCCTGCCTGTAGGTCTGTGCACATGTGTGCAATGCCCATAGAGAGTCCAGAGAGGATTCTGGATCCTCGGGGCTGGTTGTGAGCTGCCATGTAGGTGCTGGAAGTTGAACTCAGATCCGCTAGAAGAGCAACCAGTGCTCTTAACCACGGAGCCATGTCTCTAGCTCCACAAGATTGTGTGTGTGTGTGTGTGTGTGTGTGTGTGTGTGTGTGTGTGTGTGTGTGTGTGTGTGTGTGTGTGTGTGATGAAATAGGGTCTCTCTATGTAGACCAGGCTGTCCTGAAACTCAGAGATCTGCTCACCTGTCTCTTTGATGCTGGGATTAAAGGTGTGTGCCACCATGCCCACCCAGCTGAAGTTTTGTTTTGTTTGCATAAAGCAGTTGTTTCTGGGTTTAGCCTCACAAAGCATGCACTTTTAGAGCTTTGATGTATTCCAAAATGCAGCGATGTCGCTGGCGACCGGGATGCCCTAAACTGTCCAAGAACCTAAGACAGTTTCACACGCTCTGAGATCAGGACGGCCTCCGCGCACTTCCGGTCTGTTTCCGGAGCCGCCATCTTGCTTCCGGTTTCCGCGGGGGGTTGGATCGCAAACACAGTCCTGCGCCAGGCTGTTATGACATCTAGAGGTAGTCAGACGCCTGCCTTCTGGTGAGTGCAGCCGGTTTCTGCCGGCCGGGGCGGGTGCTCTGCGGTGTGCACACGGTGCGATCTGGGAGCCCCGTGCTGGGCTGAGCTGCGCCTCTGTCGCCCCCGGTCCTGACGTGGCCGAGCCTCCCCCGTCCCTGATGCTGCAGGGAGACTAGTCCTGAGCCGTACCCCTTCTCCTCCTCTTCCTGACCCCGGTGCCACAACTGTTGTGTCTGGTGTCCCATTGTCTAGCAGTGACAGCCCTGGGGCCTAGAGCAGCCTGAGGTGTGGGGTGAGCCTGGGCAGGGGCATCTCCTGCCCTCTCCTTCATCTAGAAGGCTCTTACAAGTGTTGGCTTCTATGGAGAGTGCACAGTAGTTGCACAGACTTTTACTGGGGAGACATACACAAATGTCTATTCACCTCAGATGGGCACTTAGGAATGACTAAAGGAAAGACTTCATCATGGTCCAACTTGGTGATCCAGTGAGTTTATTGGGCTTACTTATGTAGAGAGGATGCTACACACACACACACACACACACACACACACACACACACACACACCAGACCACCAAGTCCCACCCCATTATGGATAGTGACCTCATGGAAGCCACCTCATCAAGCTCCATGTTCAGTTAATTTTTCATCTCCTGCATACTCTAGATCACTAGCAAGGTGAGAGAGGTTGCCCTGGGCGGTAATGGTTGGAATCCCAGATGAAGGTCTGTAACGCCCCTCCTCTTCTACTTTAGAGTGTAACAGCTCCCTCACCACTACTGCAGACCTGGGTTATTTGCCTTATTTCATTATTATGGCCCCCTGGTCAATCTTTGTCAATTTTAAGTTTCACAGACAAAATGCTCCGTACAGTCTAAACATTTTGGCCCAGGACTGTCTCTGTAAATGAACATGACCCATATTTCCTGCAGTACCTTCCAAGTACTGTTTAACCAGAGCCTGCCTATGGTGTCCATGCCTGCGGGGAGCTCCAGATGGGGATGCAAGATGGAGATGGGAGAATAATGTTAGCCCAGAGGAAAAACCCATAGTACAGTAGTGCGCAGTGGAGTGAGCTGTTTTGTACAGTGTGATTTCGGTTCTTGTGGAAACATTCAAAACTGTCATTCCTGGATCCTGTGGTAGTTTTACTTTTAGTTTCTTGAGAAGCCTCGATGATGTTTTAAAATGGATGTTATTAACAGGACATGGTAACACAGAACTATAACCCTAGCAGGACGGCATGGGAAACCTCATTTGGAAACTGTACTTTTGTCCCATTGAGGCCCTGCTGGCCAGAGCACATGCAGAGACAAAGCTAGAGAGCATCGTGGGAGGGAACCCCCCCCCCAAGGCATGGACATCATAGGCAGGCTCTGGTTAAACAGTACTTGGAAGGTACTGCAGGAAATATGGGTCATGTTCATTTACAGAGACAGTCCTGGGCCAAAATGTTTAGACTGTACGGAGCATTTTGTCTGTGAAACTTAAATATGTAAACCAAGAGATGGAGATGGGATCCTGTGTGGTGCCTCTGCTTTGACAGGAAAGTAGAAAATCCTGCCCGAGGGTTTTCTGCAATTTCTTTGACTGCATCATTAAACACCCATCCTTAAAACATTGCAGTATGTCTTCATGATGTAGTCACTAAGCAAGCAGCAAATCACACTGACCTATGGGTAAGCCAGAAGTTTAATCTCTAATTCATTGTGTTCTTCCCTTTAGATCTATTGTGGCAGTTCTCCAGTGTAAAAGACTGGTTCCACACGGGAGGCTTTTTTGCTGTTTTCTAGCTTTTTCCTTCAGCAAGTATGTAGCAATCTTTGCACGTCGGAATCCACAATCAAGGCACAGCAAATGCCGGTTCACCTCTGTTCGCCTTCTCTTCCAGCTGCGATTGCAAGGTGCTCCGTGTGCCTTAGAGAGCGAGGAAAATGAGCACGGTTGTGGTAAGTGGTGCGATTATTCCCGACCTCCCTTTACATTGTGGTTTAAGAGCTTTGTGAGAGTTCCTTAATTAAAATTGGAATGGAAAAACAAACATAAGACAGACATGCACAGATATAATAAGATCATAATGTAGACAGAACCATGTTATAAAGGCTTTAGAGTCATTTGAACTGTGCCACTGGTTTTTTTCTTTCTTTTTTGGAGGGGTGGGGTTCAAGACAGGGTTTTTTTTGTGTAGCCTTGGCTGTCCTGGAACTAGCTCTGTAGACCAGGCTTGCCTCAAATTCAGAGAGATTCACCTGCCTCCTGCCTCACTGGTGTTGGGGATTAAAGGCATATGTCACCACCACCTGGCATCACTAGTTTTTCTGGTCCTGTGTCATTTGTTATAGAGTTTGGATTGACCTCAGGAAGAGGATATGATCAATTCTCATGGCCTGCGACATCTCAACAGGCTTCATAGACACATGCACAATGATATGTACAATGCTTCACTCCCAATCCAGAGCCGAGCAGAGCATTCACAGTTTTCAGGATTCTCTGGTACTCAGACACATGGGTTTCATCAGAATTTTAAATTATAGTCAAATGCCAGCACAATTCTCTAGCTGCCTTACATGAAACTTCTGCCACATTTGAAATTACTATCAGAGATCTTCATGTGCAAATTCTTCCATTTCAAGTTTTTTTTTTCTCGTGTGTGTGTGTGTGTGTGTGTGTGTGTGTGTGTGTGTGTGTGTGTGTGAATGTTTGTAGATGTGGGCAAATGTGCATGAGAATGCATGAGTGGGTGTATGCCTGTGGAGACCCGAGTTGATGTTGGGTATCTTCCTTCATCACTCTTTTTTTATTTATGTGGCAGTGTCTGTCTCTCACTGAGTTGATGGACTCTGGCTGGTCTAACCAGCCAGCTTGCCCTAGGGATCCTTTGTCTCTGCCTCCCAAGTACGGGGTTACAGGCTGCCGCTACACCTGCCTGGCTTTAATGTGGGTTCTGGGGGCCAGGACTCTGGTCTTACACGTGTTATCCTCGACCCCCCTTTCAGTTTCTGTCATGACCCTGCTGGAACTTCACATGAGATTATCCTTGTGTTCAGCTCTGCGTCCCTTCCACCCCACTGCAGACTTCAGGCCTCCCTGGCTTGCCTTTCTCAACTACTTCTCTGTAACTTGTACCTTTTGCTCAGCTTTCAGATCCTAAGTCTGACGCCTGGGTAGCTATGCAAAGGCACCTCAAGCTTCCCTTGTCAAAGTGAAAATCAGATCCTCCATTCTTTCCTTATATGGTATTGATAACAGTCTACCAAATGGCCTTTATCCTACACTAAAAGGGGGAATTCATCTTTCTTTCTTTCTTTCTTTCTTTCTTTCTTTCTTTCTTTCTTTCTTTCTTTCTTTCTTTCTTTCTTTCTTTCTTTCTTTCTTTCTTTCTTTCTTCTTTCCTTCCTTCCTTCCTTCCTTCCTTCCTTTCTCTTTCTTTCCTTCTTTCTCTTCTCTTCTCTTCTCTTCTCCTCTCTTCTCTTCTCTTCTCTTCTCTTCTTTTCTTTTCTTTTCTTTTCTTTCTCTGGACTTTCTTCTTCCCTCCCTGTCCTTGGCTCCCTGAGGTCTAATGTTAGGAGTTGCAGTTCCTGCTGGCTTTGTTAGTTGTTCATTCTTGGTCCAGGGGCAGCATGTGATGCTGTGGATGGTGAGGAAGTGTGGCTGCCTAAAGACGAGTATCTACTTTCTTGCTCACACTGGAACTGTCCGTCTCTGCTAGGCTGGAGGGGTCTGTTCCTCAGTGGTGAGGCCTGAGTGCTGATGAGCTGTACTGCTAGCAAGTGGGTGCAATGCAGGCCTGGGGAGTAAGTGGGGGAAAACAGAAGTTAGTGGGATACCATTAGTGTGGGAGTCCTGAGAAAGGCACACAGAGCACAGTAAAAACAGGAGCATGGATCTGAATATTACATATTTTTGCTTTTGTATGTTTATGTCAGTGTGCCGGTCGGTCTAGTTGGCAGACCACACAAAATCATCAGTTTTTAGCTCAGACAACACATGACTTTTAATGGATCACCTCACTTCACAGGCAGCAAGCATGACGTGAGCCCAGGCTCTTAGAATTCACAGGTTTTGCCCTGGTCTCCACCTTCCTGAAGCTCCTGCCCTGATATAGAATATGGGACCATCGTAGAGACACACGATGCAGAGCTAGACTGCCATTCCCACAGTGTTGGCTCTACCTGGCTGTATGTGCATTTGACTCGGATCAGTGCATTGCCTGATAGTTTCTTCATAGGCAGAAGCCGGAGTGTAGGAATCAGCAGGGAAAGATGAGAAGAACACCACACACTCTTACCCACACTGGCCTACACAGTGGTTTGGGTTCACGGTCAGGAAGCCTGGAAGGAACATGATTGGAAAACTGAGGCCAAAGTCATTTAGGGGACCGGAATGCTGGCATACCTCTGTAAATACTGGAAGGAGTGAAGATGTCACCAAAAGGTGACCTCCGCAAAGGACTTGGAGTGCTGGGATGGGCACACTTGGCTTTCTCACCTTGTGCTCTGCTGGCCTAGAAGTCTTGGCTGCAGAAGGGCCGTGCTTCTCCCAGGAGTCACAGGTCTGGTTCTGTGGAGCTTGTGGGTCTGTCTTCAGCCTGGACAGTGTTGAGCTTTTTGCCCCGAGGTATACTCAGAAAGGAGGCAGAGTGTGGTGAGGCTGGTGATCCCGACTGTCCTGAAGCACTAGGAAGCCTGGGGGATGGTCTGCTTCTGGCCTTAGGAAACCTGCCAGTCCTCCTGACTCGCTTCTGACCTGAAAAGTTGTAGGTTCTGTTTGTTCCTGTTTGTGTCTCCTGGCAAACACTGCTGTTACATACAAGCCCGCTAAGACTTGCTGACCGTACACCTCCTGTCTTCATATCAGCTCCTTCCTCTGTCTGCCCTAGGCCCAGACTTCCTGTGTGCCGCTTTGTACTGCTGCCTTATTATTATTACTCACAATTACCTTACTTTTAGAATTCTAAAGGTTTATTTTGTAAGTATGAGTGTTTGCCTGCATGTAGGTATGTACAATGTGCGTGTCAGAGTCAGAGCCCCTGGAATTGAAGTTAGAAGTAATTGTGAACCACCATATGCTAGGTGCTAGGAACTGAACCCAGGTCCTTTGTAAGAGCAACAGGTGCTCTTAACCACTGAGCCATCCCTTCAACTTCTAACATCATTTTAACATTTATTTGTGGTGTGTGTGTGTGTGTGTGTGTGTGTGTAGGTCAGAAAACAACTTGTGAGATCCAGCTCTTCCACCACGTGGGGTCCGGGGATCCGGCTCATGTTTGACACGCTTGCCAGCCAGCTCATTTACCAGGGAAGCCATCGCCAAGTCTTTAGGAAAAATTCCTAAAATAGATCAAGTGAGTTACAGGCGCAGTGGCAGATGCGGCTGTGAGCCTGTTGCTCATTAGCTGTCACTCATCGGTGGTTACGTCATAGTTTTCCTTCTAAAGTTGTGCTTTCCCTTTAAGGGGCTTCACACTACTTCCTGTGGTGTGCCGGCTTTGTAGTAACACAGGCGGGCTTCTTCCTGTCCTGTTCTGTGTCATGATCGCTAAAGACTTTCTTCTGAAGTGCTAGCAGCCCACCAGACCACGTTTCCCCCCTGTGTGAAATGCTCATTGCTTTTTAAAGAGCTTGAAAGTTGAACAGAGTGTGTTTACCTCCAGGCTGGCCATTTTCAGTGTCGCTGCATTCATGAAGATTTCTACCTTTTCCCCTGGCTGTTGGCAGCTTGGTCCTCTGCGCCTCTGTGCGCTGACTTCTGTGCTGTTTCCTGATGTTAAATGTCCAGTTTCCCCTAAGGAAATTGTTGGTCACTACCAACAAGTTTTGAGGCTCCCCCACTCATCTACAGGTTCCGTAGTACCTAGGAAAAAAGAGAGACTTCAGAGATGTCATTGTACTCATGGTTACAACGTATGCCTAGGAGAGGATTCACTATAGTCAACAAGAGACCAGGAGCAGAGTGAGGTCCAAGAGAGTCACCTTGTAGAAACTCCTGGCTGTCTTCCATCCTTGGAGGCCTGTGTCATTAGCTCTTTGTTTAGGCAACAGTGCCTGACGATAACCACAGCCAGTTAGCAAGTGAATCTCCTCCTACCCAATATTTTTAGCATTTCTTAGGATTCACTTATATGCATGTCATTGACCACCATTGGCTGCTTTAGTCTCCTGCATATCGGGTCAAGCTGATGGCACATGATCCAAGCCTGCCCCCACAAATGCCTGCCACTGTGAGCATAGAGACCATACACAAGGCCCAAAGGCTTAGGTGAGTAGAGATTCATGCCCAGGATCTCTGCAGAGGGCTCAGTCTTTCTTTGGGTAACTACATACATAGCTTGTGATCTGTAGGCTGAGATTTATAGATCTGGGGGTCTGTGTATTATGTTAAATTTATAAAATATTTGGTTTTGACTGTGGGTTATTTGTTCTGACATTACATAACAGTAAATTCTCTAGTCACATATGTGTTACACCACCTGTTTTGCCCTACTTATCATTGAGTTTCCAATGTTTTCAATTGAGAGTTCACAATTTTCAAACCTTTTATGTGTATTATGTATATATATATATATATATATATATATATATATATATATGTATATGTGTGTGTGTGTATGTGTATGTATGATGTGTGCTCGTACATTTGTACGTGGATTTGTATGCACGGAAGTGAGTATATTCAAGTGTGTGAGCCCCGTGACTTAGATGTAGAGGTCAGAGAACAGCCTGAGAGGTTGGCTGGCCCTCTGCCTTGTTTGAGACAGTCTCTTTGTTGTTTGCCATTACATGCGAGGCTAACTAACCTTTGAGATTCTCCTGTTGTTGCCTCCCGTCTTATTGTAGGGCACTGATGTCACAGACATCTGCTTCCATGCCAGTTTTACATGGATTTGGGATTTGAACTCAGGTCTTCCTGATCTCATGACATGTGTACTTTATGCACTGAGGCGTCTGTCCAGTCAAGGCTTTATATTAATGGAGTCTTTCCCCTACAGTTTCTTTTAGAAAGGCCTTTTTTCTTAAAAAAAAAAAAAAAAAAAAGGCAGAGTAGTTCTAGCTTGTAATTCCTCAGTTCTTATACACTCTATATGTGTATATAGTGTAGTTATTCATAGCATTTGTTGAGATGCTCACTGACCCGGCCTCAGGGTTCACGGTGCCTGCTGTCAGCTAGAATGATATTCTTTAACTGATGCCTCTTCCTGCATTTAGGATGTCAGGTGTGGTGGCTGGCGCTTTGGTAGCAACAGCTCCAGCTGTTACATGTTCATGCGTGTGTCCCCTCTGTGCCCAGGACATTTAGTTTGTTCTTGTTTTACCATGTGAAGTGCCATGTCTCTCCTGGCCGCTCTCCTCCCCCTCAAGTGGGTCCCCTTCAAATGCCGCCTGTGTGCTACTGTGCCCCCTTGATTCCTCTTCACTCTCCCGTCAGTTTCCCCCTCTTTCAGTGCACCTACATATATATGCACATATGGTGAGCACTGGAGTCTAGATCCATAGATGGCGCTGGTCTTTCTGATTCTGCTTTAATTCAACGTAATAGTTACCTCTAGGTCCACCAATTTTCCTAACTGGTGTTCTCATTTCATTCTTTGTGGCTTAATAAAATTCTGTTGTGTTTTTATCACATTTTCTCATCTGTTGATGGACACTTAGCTGGTTCCATTTCTGACTAAAGTGAATATCACCAACATTAAACATGATGATTGGACGTCTCTGTAAATGGCTGGCTCAGATCTTTTTGAGTATATTTCCAGGAGTGGAATAGCTGAATCACATGGTAGTTTGATTTTTAGTATTTTGAGGAACTTTAATATTGATTTCTACAGGTGTATAAGATGTATAAGTGATATATAAGAATTCCTGTTTTCTCACATCCTCAGCAACTTGTTTTTTGGTTTGTTTTGTTTTTGTTTTTTCAATTTGTTTGTTGGTTGGTTTTTCGAGACAGGGTTTCTCTGTGTAGCTTTGGAGCCTATCCTGGAACTCGCTTTATAGACCAGGCTGGCCTCGAACTCACAGAGATCCGCCTGCCTCTGTCTCCCAGGTGCTGGGATTAAAGGCATGTGCCACCACCACTGGGCTCCACTTGTTTGTTTTTAATTGATAACTGTTGTAATGGTGAAATTGGGATGCCAGTGTAGCTTTTATTTGCATTTTCTTGGTAGCTGATGACAGTGAGCATTGTTTTCATCTACCTACTGAGCATATCTACTTCCTCATTTGAGGAGGATCTGTTTGGTTCTGGCCATTTTATCAGTTGGATTATTTGTGACTTTAGTTTAGTACTTTAGTATTTACTTTTTTGAGTTCTTTGTGAATTATATATGCTAATCTACTGTTAGATGTATAGCTGGCAAAGTATTTCTAACTCCATGCTGTCTTACTTGTCAATTCTTGTAATAGACTCCTGGGCTTTTGAAGTCTTTTTCAGACAGTTTTGCCTGTGCCTATATTTTGACAAACTCCTAGTCACTGTTATACTAAATGTGAAGTGCTGAAGCATTTCCCTTAACATCACTAACAAGACAAGGCTGTTCAAACTGTACAGTGCTGGAAGTGTTGTCCAGGGCAAGGGAAGGAAATACAAGGAATACCAATGGGAAGGGCAGAAATCGAATCACCTTCATTTGCAGGTGGTGTGATCTTACACCTTTCACCCTAAGGACTCCACCAGAAGATTCTCAGAAATGATAACACTTCCAACAGGATGTCAGGAATACAAAATCAGCATATAAAACTCAAGAGATGTTCCATAAACTAGCAACAGTTGTACAGAGAAAGAAGTCAGTCACATTTACAATATAAATTTAGCAAATCTAATAATGTAACAATTCTAAATTATGAGGTTAAAAAGCTCTATAATGAAGACTTCCAGATATTAAAGAAATTGAGTAAGAAAATGTAAGATTGAAAGAATTCCTATGCTCATGGATTGGCCATGTAGTTTTTCCATAGATATATATTTATGTTGAAATGTTTGTACATACATCTGTGTGTGTGTGTATGTGTGTGTGTGTGTGTGTGTGGCAATATTGTATTCCCCAAAATATGTATACCCTAATAAACTTATGTGGGGTCAGAGAACAGAACAGCCACTAGATATAGAGGCCAGAAAATGGTAGCACACAAGCCTTTAATCCTAGCATTCCAGAGGCAGGGATCCACCTGGATCTCTGTGAGTTCAAGGCCACACTGGAAACAGCCAGGCGTGGTAACGAGAGCCTTTAATCCCAGGAAGTGATGGCAGAAAGGTATATAAGGCGTGAGGACCAGGAACTAGGCTGGTTAAGCTTTTAGGCTTCTGAGCAGCAGTTCAGCTGAGATTCATTCTGGATGAGGACTCAGAGGCTTCCAGTCTGAGGAAACAGGATCAGCTGAGGAATTGTCGAGGTGAGGGGGCTGTGACTTGTTCTGCTTCTCTGATCTTCCAGCATTTCACCCCAATACCTGGCTCTGGGTTTTATCTTATTAAAAAGAACTTCTAAGATTCATGCTACGTGTGTGTGTGTGAGAGAGAGAGAGAGAAGGGGGGGGGGAGGGAGGGAGGGAGGAAGAGAGAGAGAGGGGGGAACTTTTTAAAACAAAGTATCCTGGGATGCCCATGAACTGCTTGTATAGCTGGAGATGGCCTTGAACTTCAGGTCCTCTTGCCTTAACGTTCCAAGTGCTAGAATTACAGGTAAGAGCCACCATGCTCTTAGTATATTATCTAATACTGAACTTTCCTGTTTTCCCAGAATAAATTTTCAAGTCTTCTGCAGTTCTCAGCATCTGCATCTTTTCCTTGGTCGTGGAATGTATTTCTGATTCTTTGTTTAGAGTCCTAAGTTACTTTAACGCCATTTCACTCAGTTTGATGAAGTAAGATACCACTGAAAATTTTAATTCTTTATGTTCCTGTAAAAATGTGTTGTAAGATCTTGTTTGTCCAATTGCCTGTTAGGCGTCCATGCATTTGATAGAAGAAACTTTAGACAAGCATGTCTAAGATCGGGTGTAACTCCTCCCCATCATAGTGACTGTCATTTATCCCAATTTAGTTTACTCCCTATGTAGACCAGACTTGCCTCAAACTCAGAGGTCCTCCTTTTTCTTCCTCTTAGGGGGTTGGACTAAAGGTGTGCATCAACACACCTGGCCAGTTTCCCCTTCTTCATAGGACACTGGCGATGTGTATTTCTTTGTGGGTACTAGCAGCTCTTCTGGTTGGAGTTGGGCATGTGTTTAAGTGAAAGCCAAAGGAATATCCATTATATATACATGTTTATTACCTCAGTCATTCATCAAGCTAGTGAGCAGGCAAGGTGTTTGTAGGTTTTTGTTTTTCTTCTTCCTTAAT